CGGCGACGACGACGACGGTGGCAGCGGCGGCGACGGCGACGGCGACGACGGCGACGGCGACGACGGCGACGACGGCGGCGACGGCGGCGGCGGCGGTTGCGGCGGCGGCGGCGGAGGCGGCGGCGACTACGACGATTATGGCGATTATGACGACGACGGCGGTGGCTGCGGCGGCCGCGGCGGCGGCGACGACGACGACGACGACGACGACGACGACGACGACGGTGGCAGCGGCGGCTGGCGGAGACGGACGACGGCGACGTGGCCCCCCGGTGTGCGGCGGCGACGGCGGCGGTAGCGGCGAACGGCGGCAGGGGGGGGGGGGGGGGGGACCTCGACGACGATGACGACGGGATTACGAAGACGACGACGACGACGACGACGACCACGACGGTGGCGGCGGCGGCGACGGCGACGACGACCAGACGACGACGACGGTGGCAGCGGCGCGACGGCGAGGGCGGGCGGCGGCGACGAGGTGGCGGGGCGGCGCCGACGACGACGACGACGGGGTGCGGCGGCGGTGGCGGCGGCGGCTACGACCACGACGCGGTGACGACGACGGACGACGACGACGGCGACGACGACGACGACGACGACGGTGGCAGTAGCGGCGGCGGCGATGTCGACGACGACGGCGACGACGACGGCGGCGGCGGCGGTGGCGACGGCGGCAGCGGCGACGACGACGACGATGATTATGACGACGACGACGACGACGGCGACGGCGGCCGCGGCGGCGGCGGCGGTGGCGGCGGCGACGGCGACGACGACGACGACGACCTCCTCGCGCCGCGCCGTTCGGCGCGAGGAGGGCTCGGTCAAGTACCCGCCGCTGAGGGCCCACCGCGTGGTGCTCGCGGCGCGCTCGCCCGTGTTCAGGCCCCACGTCGGCGCACCTCGTCGCCGTGGCCCCCTCGTCGAGGAGGAGGGGGAGGAGGAGCAAAAAGTGGAGGAGGAGGAGGAGGAGGATGGAGAGGAGGAGGAAGAGGAGGAGGAGGAGGATGGAGAGGAGGAGGAGGAGGGAGGGGGGGACGACGACAACGATGACAGGGACACGGACGAGAAGGATACGGAGGAGGAGGACGATGACGAGGTAGGGTGAGAAGGAGGAGGGAGGAGGAAGGAGGGGCTTGGGAGGAGGGAAGGGGGAATAGGAGGAGGCGGAGTGGGAAGGAGGTGAGGGAAGCTGGAGGAAAGTGGAAGCAGGGATGAGCGAGGAGGGAGGAGTAGGAGGAACATGATAGCGCAAAGAAGGTGGAAAGAGAGAGAGGGGGAGAGAGGAATAGGTCGGGGAGGAGGAGGAGGAGGACAAGGAGGGATAAGGAGAGACTAAGTCGACGAAGGAGTGGGGAGGAGAGAGGAGAGAGGAGGGAGCATGAGAAGACGTACGCTCAAGCTATGAAGACATCCCAAGAAAACATGGTCATAACAATCATACGACTAACACGAACATGGATTTGACGATTTGTACAACGAATGTGGATGGGGGTGGGGATGGGGCAGCGCGGAGGAAGCGGATGAGGAGGGGAGGAGAGGCGTAGGCGGCGTCTGGAGCGCGCAGCTTCGAAGGGATGTTGGCACTGCTGCGTTGCCGGTGCCACGCTGGTACCGCACACCTCCAGGAGCGTTTTAGTGGCCAGTCTGCTCAGTTTGGCCTCCCTGCCTCCTCGTCCTCTCCCTCCTTCCACACCTCCTGTTCTGAATTGTTTTCCCGACTCGCCCTCTTCTCCCTCCATGTTATTTTCTCCTGATACTCCTCCTGTTGATGCTGTTCTTGTTTCTGTGGCCACACGTTAAGGAACTGTGCTCAAACGGCAGCCATTGAGTTGTTAGTTTGGACTCCATCTCTTGGGCCGCACATTTCAATGGACGCTGGCGCCTGCTTAGCCCCTCGCTTGGGCAATGCATGCTTGGAGCACGGTTCAAAGGATAGCCGATCCGCGAGCAGGTGTTGATAGCTTATTGCGCCCAGCTAGCGACGGTAAGAATTGTTGGGGAATTGCGTGCGCCCGCAGTCACGAACATGGCTAACGACATCGGGAGTCAGCCATCGACATGTAGTGATTGATCACACGACTTACATGCCACACCGTGAATTACGTGTTCTCATGGCATACGCATAAGAAAGAACATGATATGGAAGGAGGTACGGTTGGCGAAGCCACTCATGATGTCGTTTACGAGTGAGCCCGCCCGCCCAGTTACCCACACGGATGATGCACGCAACTTGTTGTGAGCAGCTTATGACGTTCAGGTGGCCCTGGCCAGAGCGCGCGAACGTTTTTCTGCGGGTCCACACGGCTCCGCTCTGTGCACTGGTTGCAGCAGGCGGGGTAAGCCCGTGGGATGAAGAGCTTGCGTTGAGCCTGTGGTCATTTACGGTCTCCCCGTCCGCGTTTTCTTCTTTTGTTAAGCAAAGTGCGCCGCGAAGCGGGGGCGATGACGAGGAGGAGGAGGAGGAGAAGGAGGGACGGAGGACGGAGAGGAGGACGGGGAGGGAGTGAGTGAGAAGAATGAGGAGGAGGAGGAGGAATTGGACCAGTGTGAACCCAGGACTCATCAACGCTGTTGCGTGAAACCCTCCAAGTTCCCTTTGTTTGGCCCCTGCACTGATTTATTTTCACTGAGGGAATGGTCCCGTTGGAAAACAACCGTTTGAGAATCCAGAATTGTGCCAGAACGCAACGGTACATAAACGCAGGGAATCACCGTTACAATTAGGTTTTGACGATCTGGGATCGTGGCAGAAAACCATTCGTGGGATTTCAGCACCGCGAATCAACGGGACTTCTGTGCCCTGACATCCCGACACCATGCCAAACCACCGTTTCCGGGGCGTTAGCTATTATAAAATGCGAAATTCCTGTAAATTATTAAGACGAGTATGCGCGGCGCTAGGGCGAGAACCACATTTTAGAAAGGAGCCGCCCTCCATCCGTGAAAGTCTAGCAAACGCTTAAGACAGATGTGCGCGGCGCTAACCCGAAAGCCGCATTTGAAAGCGGGCAGCCCTTCATTCGTGAATCTCTTTGCAAGTTTTAAATGACTTCAGGATCATGAGTGGTGACGAGGTCTCAGGCGAAACGCCCCGCCCGCCTTTTCGGTTGGCACCAGTATGTGAAAGGTAGGAGCGATCTATAAGGATGAGGGTTGAAGGTGGAGGAGGAGGAGGAGGAGGAGGAGGAGGAGGAGGAGGAGGAGTGGGAGGAGGATGACGAGCCCCCCCGGCCGCATTTGTTACCAGTCTCGGTGCGAAGAGCCTCTCCGCGGTGAGAGCGGTCGCGGGGCCTCGAACCTTCACCCCTGCTGCTGCGCACAGTGGCGCGATCCCTCTGTGTGCTTCCTGCGCCGGGATCCACTGCTCGCCCGAGGGGGGTCGGCTCGGCGGTGCGCGCGCATGCTTCGGCGGCGCGCCGGGGGGGCAAGCGAGGGGGGGGGGGGGACAGCCCTGCAAGAAGGCGCGGGGTTTCACAGAAGCAATGTGCGTCTTCCGAGAATGCGTAGAAAGCTTCTCGGGCCGGGCGAATTGGGCCATGGCGGCGCCTCCGGCCGCCCGGGCAGGCGCCGGGAAAATCAGCTACGTGAGCTGAGCTGATTTCACCCCCCCCTTTGCTATCCCCCCCTTTCGCCCGACCCGAGTTTCTCCGAGTTCCTGAGGCCTTCTGAGCCTCCTGGGGAGCCCCGCCCCCTCTGCCTTCCTTCTGGGCGGGCCGCCGATTTCAGCAGCCCTCCGCTCTGGGCACGTCTGGTTCTGTCGATGGGGCGCCGTCCCGTGGGAACCCCGAGACGTGCGGGGTCATCGGAGGGTACGGGGTGAGGAGGAGGAGGGTGGCGGCCAGCGAAGACGACCAAGAGATGGAGCATCGCAGGATGTTCCGCCCCAGCAATTAAACATCCGCCGATGTGTTTTTGTCTTTCCGCGGCTCCAGATTCTTGACCGCTTCCCCGCGTATAGGCGTTTATCCCAGACCTGTGTTTGATGACTTTGCCCCCTCTTCCGATTGCTGGTCGTCGACCTCCCGCATTCCAGTCGCTGCCCCAGCCCCTGGGTGTGGTCGCGACGCCGCCACGTGCCCGTTGCCAGGGGTGCAGCACCGGCTTGGCCGCCCCGGGCGCCCCGCTCCGGTTCCCGCTGCGTGAGCGCAATAACTACTTCCCCCCCGTCCGCGGCCGCTCCCCTCGTCCCAGTCCTCCCTCTCTTGCATCCGGGCAATTCGAGCTGCCGTCGCCCCAGCGCGCGTGCGGGCAGCTTCTGCCGCGCTGCGGCGCAGAGCGTGGTTGATGACCCCGCTGCCCGAAAGCGGGCGTCCGAGGGCTGAAATCGAGGCAAGGATCTGTTTGCAAGAATCATTTTGTCGGAACTTTGGGCACCTCGAAATCTCGGCTCTGACCCCGCCCCCCAAGATGGGCCGCGAAGCGATGACCTGCCCGCTCGCCGGGGACCTCCGACCCCCCTGAAGGCTGAGGCGTTGAAGGCCCAGTCGCGCCGTAAGAATGCACCCGGGACTCCTCTTTCCTTCTCCACTTCCTCCGCCTCCTTGCTCCCTCCCACCCCTCCCATCGACCTCCCCCATTCCCCTGCCTCCCTTGCCCCCAAACCATCCCCCCCTTCTGAGATCTGGGCGTCTGTGTTTCATGTTCTCGACGGGCGAGTTTGGTTTGCGATGGGACCAGGGACCCTGGCGGGTTGATCCTGCTCGACAATTGCAACGGGAAAACTTCAGGGTTCCCATCATGAGTTGTTCTGCAATATTCGTTGTATTCCGTGGCGCGTCGTTATTCCCATTATTATTCCCTCCTCCCTGCCTCCTTCATTCGTCCCTGCATCTAGTATCTACCATCAGATCCCACTCGCACCAAACAGCGAGGGCAGCAGAGGAGTGGGCGTTCGACATCCGCCTTCCCACCCTGTCTTTAATCCTAGATTTTTGCTCGTCGAAATCCCAGTGGACAGCCTTCCGCCGCCTTCGACTCACATTCCTTTTTCCTTACAATTGAGTCCACTCATGTCGCATGTTCCACCACTAGACGTGTCCGTAGACTGGGCTACGTCTTTGTATCTGAAGCTGACAGCCCCAGCAGTTACAGTGATGGAAGGCTTGTGGTTTCAAAGATGCGAGGTTGGACACGTGTTTTTTAAAGAAAAACTAATACAGGTTACCACTAACTACAAAGATGGATGACGTTAGGTGTTCAAATGGGCCGATGACTCAAGACTGTCTTCACACAAGTTATAACATGCGACACTGTGCAATAGTTAACTGGATGTAGGCAGTTTTGTTTCATTATCGGTTTCTCGCTTGAGAATCCGTTCGATTTGATTGCCAGGGTACCAAATGATCAACACTTTCACCTATGCCTGGCGACTGCTTTCAGAGATGGGGTGTCGTTGGGCTCTTCCGTGAACTTTACGACCTCACCGTCCTCGTTCTTTACATCTCGGAGGATGGATGGCAATTCGTCTTCCAAGGGCCGCATTGCGCAGTGAAGAGGAATGCTTGCAGGGACTAATGAGGAGGGGACTCGGAACGTGACAGGGGGTAGTGTACTGCAGCAGAGTTCATACGTTTTGGGTTGACTCTGGTCCTCCTTGTCCGTCCCTCTCCTCCACCTCCCTCTCCCCTCCGCTCCTCACCTCTTTCTCCTCCCCCTCTTCCCCCCACGTCCCTCCTCCTTCCCGAACTCCGACGTGGAAAGAATCTTGCAACGTCGCATAACAATGACAAGCAGAGCCCTCGACCCAATGTTTATGATGCATTTTTCGAGCTGGGTCGATCTGTGATGGCTGCGGGGCCCGAAGCCAGATGCAATCGCCCGCGTGAAACAAATGCAACGCCCGGGTCTCAGGGTCCTCCTCGCTGGCGGAGTTCCCCTTGCCCCTGCCCTTCCCTCGCCTCTCCTCTGGCGTGCACGGGCTAGGATGCTACTCCCAGGAGTCTGAGTTCTGAATCGGCGCCGGTCCATCCCTCGCCGAACCTTGGCCTCCCGCATAATCCAGCCTAATCCTGCTCAGTCCCAGGCTGACTCCGATGTAATCCTGGGCTGGATCTGGCCTGATCTGACCTCTTGGCCTTTCAAACGCGGCTTAGGAGATCTTAACCGTTTTGACGAAGACTTCCAGGGAGTTGCATCCCTGCGGGCCGCCCCCGGGGGCGGCGCCAGGCAGATGTTCTTCAGCGCCGGGATGCGGGAGGCCGTGCCCCGCCGAGCACGCCGGCTGAGAGGGAAGGGAAGGGGGAGAACAAAGGAGGCGGGGGGGAGGAAGGAATGGAGGGGAGGAGGAAGGTAGGAAGAAGGAGGGGGAAGGAGGACAAGGATGGAGGAGCGTGGCGCGGACGAGGAGGAGGAGGACGAGGAGGAGGAGACTCAGGATGACGAAGAGGAGCGCCGCGCAGTCCTTGGACGCGCACATCACCCTCGGCGACGCCGACCCGAAGGCGCGGATGGCGTTGCCGCTGCCTCGGCCGCGGCCGCGGCCGCCGCACATCTCTGGGCATTCGGCGCCCTTTTGTGGCCGCATGAGCGGCAGCTGCGCCGACGCAGGAGGGGAGGAGGGCGAGCAGGAGAGTGGGGGTAGGAAGAAGCGAGAGGAGGGCGAGGGAGGGGGAGGACGGGAAACTGGGAAAGATGAGGAGGAGGCGGAGGAGGAGGAGGAAGAGGAGCGGGAGGAGGAGGAGGAGGCGGAGGCGGAGGCGGAGGCAGAGGCGGAGGCAGAGGCGGAGGAGGAGGCGGAGGAGGAGGACGAGGAGGAGGAGGACGAGGATGAGGATGGGGGAGGATGAGTCGGAATAAAAACATGAATAATACCGCAAATAATAATGATAGATATTATTGCAAGTTACTGCGACTAGTAAAGGTAATAATGATTACACTGGAGAAAAACCCAATCAATGGATGAGCCGAATGTTTTGCAAGCACCATGCTTGGTCGAAGTTTCGCAAGAGGGCCCCAAGAGGCTAATTCATTGATTGCCCTTGCGTGTTGGAAGGGTTGTGGCATCCCCGCCATGTCGGACAAGAGAGCGAGAGAGAGAGAGAGGAAACTAAAACAAAAAACAAAGACAGAGAGAGGGAGTGAAACGAGAGAGAGAGAGAGAGAAAGAGAGAGAGAGAATGAGCGCCTGCCGACAGCAGAGATACAAAGAGAGAGAGAGAGAGAGAGCGAGAGAGAGAGAGAGAGAGAGAAACCAAAAAAAAACAAAGCAAGGCAGAGACAGAGGGGGCGCCCGCCGACAGGCGCCCACCGAGAGCCGCCCACCGAAGTCTGCCGGCCACTCTCGCCAGTCTCTTGAGGGGGCGCCCACCGAAAGGAGGAGGGAGGAGGAGGGGGAGGAGGAGGAGGAGGAGGAGGGGGAGGAGGAGGGGGAGGAGGAGGAGGAGGAGGGGGAGGAGGAGGGGGAGGAGGAGGGGGAGAAGGAGGAGGAGGAGGAAGAGGAGGAGGAGGAGGAGGAGGTGAGAAGGAAGACCGAAAGCCGCCCACCCAGAGCCGCCCACCGAAATCGGGCGGCTACTTTCGCCATGCCACAGAAACGAATCGCACGAGCCATAGGAACGGCAATGCCATGCGTGATAAGAGTACGGATCGCACCAATAATAATGTGATGCAAGTAGATGAATCTGGCACATCGTAACGATATTCCTAACACATATAATAACAGCAAGCCAAGCAATATTATGAATGTGAAGACTACAAGTCAGGAAACTACAACGAGGAGGAGGAGGAGGAGGTGGAGGAGGGAGGAGGAGGAGGCGGAGGAATCGGAAGATGATGAATGCGAGGTCAATGGGAAGGATTTGCGGCTGGTGCCGCTAACCCTGAGGGGGGACGACGACGACAGTTGCGGAGGCGGCGGCGACGACGCTGACGCTCTGGAGCCTTTCTTGGATGTTGTTGGAAGTATCTTGGGCTCTGATGGGGGGCATCTTGGGGAACTTCTTGGGACGTTCCATGGCCATTTGGAGCCGCCTCGGAGCAGATCTGAAGCAGATCTCTTGGAGGCAGGTATGAAAACACGCAGCACCCCGCAACAGCAGATAAGAGTGAGAAGGGACTTCAAACGAGGCTTAAGGAGAGGTTGTATAGCGAATGCTATATCCGACGCTTTCTTGGCTCAAGGCAGCGCTGTCATAATGGCAGTTACACAACTGTGCGACTCGATCTGAGGGTCGTAGCAATGGACAACGGCCCCGTCCTTCTATGATCCATCTCCCGATCCCATGATTTCTCTCTTACCTCTCGCTTTGCTTGCCATCAAAGGATGAGTTGTGGGATGCCGCAATACGTCGCCGACGTTGTCCTAATAGTAGGGTTCTCAGCTGATCACCTCACGGTCAAACCTGGTACCCTTACTTTTCACTGAGGATGCTTCCAGGGAGGGGGGGGGGTCGGAAGGAGGGAGGGGACGGTGGCCCCTTGTCCCAAAAGGAGGAGGCCGGGGGATGGATTCTCGATGCCCCCTTGTGCATAATTGCGGGGGCCACCCCCTCTGCCCCCCGTGTCCACAGGGGCCCTCGCCCCGGGGCGGGGTCACGCCCCCCAAAGGCCCCCCCACGGGCCCCCCCCCCTGGGGGCCCCTCGGCGACCCGGGGGGACAGGGGCTCCAGAAGACTTCCGGAGAGTTGGGCCCCCAGGGTGGGCAACTTTCGAAGGTTAGCATGTCAATGTTTCTTTCCAACTTTCCAGGCCCCCCGAAAGTAATGGCTGTCATTTTTTTAAACAAAAAATGCCACAGATTTTTTGATATATATATATATATATATAATCAGGCCTTCCCTGAAAGTTGCTTGTCGGCAACTTTTGGGAAATGGGGCGCCCCCCCCCCGAATACTCAGAAACAGTATTTTTTCAAGCTGGCTGCTCGGGGGGGGAACTTTCGAAAATTACTTGTTCAACATGTTCCAACTTTCCCCAGGCCCCCGAAAAGTAACTGTTGTTTTCAACGTTCCTCGGCAAACCCTTAACGGATTTAACTTTTCCAGCTTTCCGCCCCCCCTGAAAGTCACTTTTCGGCAACTTTCGGTCTACGGGGCGCCCCCCCCAGCCCCCCGAGAAGGTATGTGTATGTTTTTCCGATGTTTGACCAACTTTCGGCTTCGCCGAAAAGTGATATGTTCAACTTCACCTGGGGCCGGGCCAACTTCTTCTGGAGGTCAACGTTATTTTTCTTTTTTTGTCACTTCCTGTGGCAGTCGGAAGTAATTGTCCAGGTGCCCGACAAGTCGGTGCACGAGGCGGGCGCCAAACATTTCGTGGACGTGCGGCCTGCAAGTGGGTCTCTACGTGGGAGCCATGCTGAATCCTCTGGCGAAGTCGTGGGAAAGTCGCGAGCCCGTTTTGGAGCATGAAGGGGCGCATCCTGTCAGGGCATCCTCTGTTCAAAATCCCTCTCGCGCCATCTTGCGAGCCTCTCGGGGGCACTGCAGCGGCACGATTCGCAAGGTTGATTAAGGAATCCTAGTGGTCTAGCGAAGAATGAACGCGCACAAGACGCACACAGATGTCTCAGGCCAAAGTGGCCTCGGACACCGGAGTTCCGAGGATGTCTGAGGCGAAAGCGGCTGGACAACTATCGGGCAAGGCATCTCCGAGGTCAGAGTTGCGAGGATGTCTCAAGCGAAAGTGGGCTGACCTCCGCAGCTGAAGGCATCTCGGAAACCGGAGGTGCGAGGATGTCTCAAGCGAAAGTGGCCGGACCGCAATGGGGCAGAGCGTCCTTGAGGTCAGAGTTGCGAGGATGTCTCAGGCGAAAGTGGCCCGACCACCTACGCCCGCATTCCGTAATCCTCCAGGCGAAAGCGGCCAAGCCGCCATGAGGCCTTTCATATCCGAGGTCAGAATTGCGAGGATATCCGCCCGGGGCCAAAACAGCCCGCCGCAATCAAGGGGTTCCTAAGTGCAGCGGGTCTGCTCTCCCTCGCAGACGCTCCCAGGAACCACAAGGGCCCGCTGCATTTAAGAGAGTTTGAATGCGGCGGATCTGCTTTCCCTTGTGTGGGCCTCCCGGGAACCCTCTGAACCTCGTGAGTCCTCTGAGCCCTACGAGCCCTATGAGCCCTATAAGGCTTATAAGCCATATGAGGGCCGCCCAGGGCCAAAACAGCCCGCTGCACTTAAGGGGTTCCTAAGTGCAGCGGGTCTGCCCTGCCTCGTGGACCCTCCTGGGAGCCACAAGGGCCCGCTGCATTGAAGGGGGTTTGAAGTGCGGCGGATCTGCTCTCCCTTGAATGAGCCTCCCCGGAGCCCACTGAGCCCTCTGAGCCTTATGAGCCCTATGAGGGCCAGCCGGTGCCAAAACAGCCCGCTGCACATATGTAAGGGGTTCCTAAGTGCAGCGGGTCTGCTCTCCCTCGCGTACCCTTCCGGGAGCCAAGAGGGCTCGCTGCATGTATGGGAGTTTTACATGCGGCGGATCTGCGCTCACTTCTGTGGGCCTCCCGGGAACCTTCTGAGCCCCCGTGAGGCCTCTGAACCCAACGAGCCTTATGAGCCTTGTGAGCCCTATGAGCCCTATGAGCCCTGTGAGCGCTATAGTCTTATGAGCCCTATGAGCTATACGAGCCTTGTGAGCCCTTCGAGCCCTGTGAGCCCTATGAGCCATACGAGCCTTATGGGTCTCACCGTCTCTCTCCCCCATCAGTGCGTGCACTGGACTGTTGTGGGGGGGGGGTAAATCGTGCCGCCTCCCCCCGCACCCCCCACCCCCCCGGAACCGGCGCAGGCCGGGTCGCGCGCCAGCGGAACAACTTTTCAATGTGTTTGCCCATTTTCGCGTGTTTGCCGGAATCCCCGAAAGTTACGTCTCTAACCTTTGGTAACCTTTCGAAAACTTTCGGGAATTCGTAATAGTACTTGTTCCAGTTTTTTCCAACTGTCCGACACTTTGCCAGCGTCCGGAAAAACTATGTTTCATTTTCTGTGACTTGCGAAGACCGGGGAAAAGTGTATGTTTATTTTTCTATTTTCCGGCAAGAGTCCCGCGTGCAGAAAAGTTACTTTTCTTTTTTTTTTTTTTACTTGCGGAGATTGGTGGCGAGTTACTCCGGACGGCAAAAACAAATTTTTCGGGAGCGTGAAAAGTTGATCCGGCATGGACGTCGCAGGGTGTTGGAGGACCCCCTCATTTTTCCAGCTTTTCCGAACCTCTTGATAATTTTTGCGCGGGGGTCCGGAGGGCCCCTAATTGCCCCCCGGTCCCCCGCGCCACCCCCAGGGAAGGGCTCAAAAGAGCAGGTTTTCCCTTCGAATTAACTACGACGTTGTTTGACTTCGGCCAGCCGGATGGCTTGAAGAGGAGGGCCCAGGGCAAGGGGTGGAGCGGCGACGGTTACGGCGATTCAACACGGCTTGTACTCAGTACAAGTCTCGTCATCGGGACACGACTGTTCAGTCCTCCTGTCTAAAAGTAAACTGAAGCACAATTTTTGGGATTTACTGTTTG